CAGAAGAAACCAGGTTTGGAAACTGCCACTGCTTGTTCAAGACACCTAAGGTCTTGAAGCCCAGGGGTTAGGGCTGTCCTTGTCAGGAGGAGGTCATGTGAGAGCCCGTGTCAGGGAACTAGGTTCCTCTGTGGACTCTGCTGAGTAGTTTGGGTGTTTCCTATGTTCACTGAAACAAATGATCATAAACTCAGCAACAGAAACTGATTATTATAGAGCTCTGTGGTCAGAACTCCAAAAAAGGGCTTCACTTCAGGTCAGGGGGTTGGCATGATTGCTGCCCTTGGAAGATCTGTGCCTTTCTGGCGTTCTAGAAGCCACCTCTGCTTCTTGACCCAAGTCCCCTTGCTCCATCATCAAAGCCAGCAGGGAACGTGTTTCCCAGTTTCTGTTCTGAGGCCTCGAAAGCCAGCAGGCTGCTGATAGATAAGGAGGGGCCTCCCAGGCAATGAGTTCTTGGGAAGTAATAAAATCAACTAACCCTAAGGCTGCTAAAAAGCTCACCTTGTGGACACAGGCACTACGGCCTGATAAGATCTTTATCTGGCACCAGAGAAGGTTGGATGGACCTTCCTCAGATAGAAACTCCACCGGGAACATAGGGCAAGAGAAGAATGTCAAAGCAGACCATCCACCGCTCCCACTCTTCCCCTTGGCAACCACCCTAGCAACAGACTCTCGCCTAGGTAGAAAGCCCCACAGGGGGAAGCTTGGGAGAAACCCCATAAAAGCCAACTTGAACCAAGGAAGCGTGTACATGTGCTACCCAAACCCATGTGCCGCCTGTGCTCATGTGTTGCTTCTGAGTGCATGTGGTGCCTGAGCACGTGTTGTGCTTTGGAGATGTGCACTTCCATACCTTCATATCTAATGCTGGCATGTGTTCTGGCGTTCTCCTTCTACTGAAAAAGCCCACATTCTCCCTTGGGCACGTTATTCTCTCTCTCCCCCCTCCCCCCTCTCTCCCCACCCCTTCCTCATAACTTCCAGATCACACCTGTTACACTTCACTATTCCTTTCCTGAAATTCTTCTCAGAGAGGCAGAAGGCAATGGATGTGAGCCCTGGGTAAGGGCTAGCACTGACTCTCCCTTTCCTGCAAGGAGCATGGCTCTCACAGTCAGTCTGAGATTGCCCGAGCCATTCTTCAGGTGGCAGAACATGGATAGAGAGAAAATAGCAGCAGATTCCTTCCTTAAGGCTGCTGCCTCGCTCCCCCACACTTTACTAAAGTCATCCCAGAACCTCACCAGCATTAACTTCATTTCCTCCTTTCTCTCCTGGGGTCCTTCTGGTTATCCCGACTCACCTGGGTAATCTAAGAACATTTTAAGTCTGGCAAAAAAATATGAGATAACACATTTTCTCAGGTTCTAGGCTTATGATGTGGGCATCAACTTTTGTTCTGCATATCTAATATGCAGCCTGGGATAAGGAGCTGGACATTGGGCATAAAGCAAGCTCATCCTTCACGGGTTGGTGGAGGGGATGACAATTAGGTTTGTAGACCTCAGGGAATGACTGAGGCCCCAGAGCGGGTGCTGGAGGCCGGGGATGCCTTGAAGGCTAGTGCTCCTGGCGGGGAGACAGTGCCAGGAAGATGCCTCTTCTCTGAAGGGTTTGTCTCTCCAGTAGCTGGCCTCTTGGAGGTGTGACCCATGACAGTAGCAGGCTGAGGTGGTAGAGTGGAGAAGAGAGGAAGCGTGTTTGCACTTGACGCCATTTCAACCTCCACTGTGTGAAGTGTCTGCCTCGGGTTTGCAGATGTGGAAACAACAGCTCAGAGACCTCAAGCTCCTTGTCTGGGCTCAAGCAGCTACTGTGAGAGATTGGGGGTTCCCATCCCAGGCCACTTAAGCCCCTCTATGTAGAGGTTGAGCAAACCTATTTCCTTCTGAGCGGGGCTTTCTTTTTTTTTTGTGAGTTATACAATGAGTTTTATTAAGTATGATTTATAATTTTTATATTATTCCATTTTTCTTTTAATCAACTAAGTGTTCTTTAATAATTTTTTGAGCCTCTCCAGTGTTGCTTGGGAGACCAAGAGCCACTCCATGTGGTTCCTAGTGACTGGCCAGTGGTTACATGCAAGGGCCTGAGAAGTGGCCCTACAATGCTGAGGACAGTCAGGTTCACCCTGACAGTGTTTGGTATCTCCAGATCACATAAAAGGCATGTGTCTTCACTGTATCACTGTCATCCTGTTGTTCATTGATTGCCTCAAGCAGGCCCCAGTAACGTCTACTTTGTCGTAGCCCTGAGATTTTAAAAACTGCCACATTTAAGGCTCTTTCACTGTCAGGGGAATGAGACCCATCATTGTTACTGTTTTTTGGCATATTGAATATGCCACGGGGAGTTTGCCAGACTCTGAGGTGTGGGCAGGATACTTTTGGTAGCCTGCCAGGTTCTCCAGAGTAAGAACTAGATAATAGGATATCTTGTGGCCGGCCAATGCGTCTGCATGCTTCAGGGAGCAGGGTTTTATAGTCTCTGGGTCTTGGCCGTTGATGGGATTACACAGCACCGGGGGCAGTTGGTGGGTGTAACACCTACATACTGGAAGATGGGGGATCTGGGTGGAGGAGTCCCAGTCCCAGTCCGAGCAGGCTTGGAGATCTACACCCAGTATCCTGCACACCTGGGTTCCTCTGCTGGTTCCTTCATGTGTGAGGTTCATCTGAACGTGTGGAGAGTGGTCTTAAGCATGGCTGTGGCTGGAACCGGGGGTCTTCAGCTGCCGGGGCTCTGCTTGGGGTGGGGAGGGAAACTCAACCACCCTCCTCCAAGGGGCCCCGGTGAGGACAGCCAGGCGCAGAGGCAGGAGACTCTGCGCTGTTCTTTTCCGGGAGCAGGGTTTTATAGTCTCTGAATCTTGGCCATTGATGGGATTACAAGGCATGTATCTTACCCTGTATTATTTATCTCCCTGGCCTTCTGACTTACTTTTTTCTCATCCTAATGTATCTTTTTAAAAATGAGACTTCATAGGGGCTGGAGAGATGGGACAGTGGGGAAGGTATCCCCGGCATCACATAGGGTCTCCTGAGTGATCCAGGACTAAGCTCTGAGCACGGCTGCCTGTGTTCCCCTTCCCATCACCCTTTACCCCACTCCCAAATGAGACTTCATACTATTTCCACAGTTGGAAAATCAGCAGAACTCTTGGGCTAGTCATGCGTATTTCCATAATGCACATTAAGATAAATTCATCACTGTGTCAATGGCAAGTATTCATCTATGCAGCACGTAATAATCTGTATAAATGCTTCCAGTGGGGCTGGCTTTCTCTGCTAGAATTCAATCCACATTTTACTCATCTCAGCAAATCAGAATGTTATTAACGGTTATCTTTTACTAGGCCATGAAATGTTTGCACAGCTTCCCAGAACAATGAAACTCAGACTCCCCGGATGGCCTCTGTCTCTCCTGGCCCCAGTGTTTCCATCTCTGGATCTTTCTGTCTTGGACAATACATGCCTCCTCTTGCTGCTTTGGTCACCCAGGGAAAGGTGCAAGGGTTGGAACCCAGGCCATGAGTCCTGGAGCGCAAGTCTGTAACTACTCCTCGGTACCCCTTTCTGTGATATCTCATCTATGGTAGAACAGATGAGAAAAGAAAACTACAACAGATTTGAAAAGTAGGGAAAGTGTTGGCTGGGTCATTCAGGAGCCCCTAACTTGGAGAGCCTCCTTATTTTTATCAGTACACATTGGAGTTCAACCAAGTTCTCCAGCCTGGTCTGTAGGTCCAAGAGACCACCTCCTGCCAAGCGGGAGGAGCCTAGAGACCTTTTAAAACCTTTGGCAGAAGTGATAGGCAGCTGTGATGGCCAATCCTAACTGCCTGATCTGATGGGAGGGTGGTGCTTCCCTGAGGCTCCTGCTATATCTGCTACTGACAGAGCTGATGTCATATTCCCTTTCTTGGTGGCAAGGTGGATAATTTGTCATCTGAGCAGGGAGCATAGATCCCAGTGTAACTTGCCTAATACCTGTGGTGTATTAATTCCCATTTTCCTGAGAGAGGGGTACCAGGTCCCTGGTTTCAGGTGAGACTGGGGAGTTCAAGGCCAATGAACGGGGATTCAGCAAGATTCTGCCATACTCTGTGGGAGCAGGGGGTGGGGAGGGGAGGAATAGCCAGGCCCAGGACCTGCCACGTCGTTGATGGGTTTGCTTAGGCACCACTGTCTGTCCTGGGATGGAGCCTACACCCCTCATTGGATTCTGCTCAGGAAGAATGTGCTTCTCTCTGCACTGGGTGCAGGGTGGAAAGGGAAGAGATGACAAGCTCTGAGCTGGCGGCCTGGCTTCCTCTTCCGCTGCAGATTAGGCGCATGACTATGGACACATCCGCTCCCCAGTGGACCTGGTCAGTGGGGACACTCGGGGTACCTGAATAAAAGGGGATTGGTGAGGACTGAAGGGATTAAACCAGCGGAACACAGAGGAGGTTCTAGATATGATAATTTTTGCAACCAGACAGATTTGGGGTTGAATCCTGCAACCAGCCCTAGCCGCTCTGCAATTTGGGGTGGATACTTTGCCCTCTCTGGACCTTTACTTTTTCAGTGTTGCAGGGAGGAGGTCTACTTCTAGTGATGTCTGAGGGGGACCTTATTGTGCCAAGGACTGAATCGGGAGTTCCCCTAGGAAGAGCATGAGCTCCAGCCCTTTGGGTCTTCTCGCTGGCCCAGACCTGTTTCCTCATGAGGAAATGAGGCTGGGCACAGTCCCTGCTGTCCGGGGAGGTGAGGAGCCTCGGGGAGCCGCCAGGGTATGTGGGTGTCAGGGTGTGTCTGTGCCCATTCTCTGCCCCCTTCCCCCGGGCAGCCCTCCTGGAATGGCTGAGGGCCAGGTACTGTGCTGGGTGCTGGCTGTGTCCCTCCCCGGCCGCCCCACCCCATGGTGACGATCTTGCCCCTCCCCCCCCCCCCCCCCCCCCCCGCCTGTATGCAGGGGGCAGGAAGGAAGAGGAAGCGAGGAGGGCAGCCAGCTTCCCCTTTTCTGCTCTGCTCCCGGTGTCAGTGGCTCGGAGAAGGGGACGGCAGCACCATGGCTCCCTCCACGGCCGTTGTCCGCCGCACTTGCTGCTGCTTCAACGTTCGCATCGCCACCATGGCCCTGGCCATCTACCATGTGGTGAGTGTGGGCACTTCGTGTGCGAGGGCAGGAGTGCCCCAGGGGCCCCCTCCCGTGTCCCTCGGCCCCTCTCTGTCCCTTCCTGGGCCTTGGTCTCCCGCTCTGTGCAGTGGGGGCAGGGGGGGTCCATCCTGGGTGACTGGGACTCGGTTCCTGCCTCTGTAAAATGGGGCAACAAGCAGCCACCAGGCGTCCACCACCAGGGGGACAGCAGATGCAAAAGTGCTCTGGACGTAGGGTCCTGGGGAAGTGGGAGCTGGCTGGTCCTGGGAGGGGAGCCAAGTCCATCCTCCTCTTCCCGTGGGGCCCGGGCTACTGGAGGGGCGAGACGTGGAGCTTTTCTCGCTGGGCTTCAGGAGTTGTCCCAGCTCAGGCAGCTCTGCAACAGCCACCGGCTCCCCCCAAAGATGAGGGGGTGTGTGCGTTCCTAAGTGGGGTGTCTTCCCTGCTCGAGTGTCCGGGGGCAGCTGGGGAAGGGCCCAGTGGTCCCCCTCAGGTGCTCATGGGGCCTTATCTGTCTGCCCATGAGGTGGCTGATGACAGCCCCAGCCCCCAACTCTCAGCCTCTGTCACTTGTCCTGACCAAACTTGCCCTCCGACCCCACCAAGCCCAGTCACACCCAGCTGCCCAGACCTGGACACCTCCCTCTCGGGGTGACTCAGGGCCTGTGGTTAACAGTTCTCTCAGGAACCTGGAAGGGCTTCCTCAAATTTGCCTGAACCTCACGGCTGCGGGCACTGCAGAGATGCTGCCTCCTAGTCGTGCAGGCTCGTGGGAGCAGTGAGGGGTGTCCAGGGAGCCTCTGCAGCCCTCCTCCCAGGGGCCATAGTCTGGGCCTCACTGCTTTCTGGCTGGGCTGCCTCGAACCACTGTCTTAACCTCTCTGAACCTCAGTTTTCAGCTCTATGAGTGGGCACGGGAATGCTGGCTCCTCATGGATAGGACAGTCATGAGGACTGAGTGACAAGGACTGGCACAGAGTCTGCTGCTTGTTGAGGAGTGTGCAACCAGCTCACAGAGTCAGTGGGATGCTGAGAGGGGTGGAGGGTGTCAGGTCTGTGGCCACCCCGAGTCCTGGCGAGAAAGCGTTGCTCCCAGGGCGGAGGTGTCTACACAAGCAGCAGTAGCAGGGCCCCACGGAGTCTTTGTTCTCACTCTCCCTCTGACTGGCTGGTAAACCCAGACCCATTTCTCTCTTGGGCCTCAGTTTCCCCTTCATAAAATGAGCAGTGAGAGGATGTGATCCGACACGGAGTTCTGGAACTCCAGAGCCTCAGGGGCCACGTGTGGGGGAGTGTGGCCGGGTGACAGGCCCGGGGGCGTCTGGGGACCCCCAGCGGGTCTCCTGCAGACAGCTGGCATTGGCGGGTAGGCACTGGCTGGCACCTTTCTGACCTTTAGAGAAGCAGGACAAGAAGGATATCATGTCCCACCGCCTGCCGTCTCCATGGTGGTGACTGATTCGAGATTGGGAGAAACCCCTGTGCACACTGTCCCCCAGACCCTGGGTGGGCTTTGTTTTTCTGGGAGCCATATCTGGTGGCGCTCAGGGACTGCTCCCAACCCTGTGCTTGGGGGTCACTCCTGGCAGTACTCAGTGAGCCGCACGGTGCAGGGCTTGAACCCAGGCTCCCGCATGCAGGGCATGCGCTCTGTCCACCTCTCTCTCTCTCTCTCTCTCTCTCTCTCTCTCTCTCTCTCTCTCTCTCTCTCCACTGTGCTTCTCTCCAGCTAACTGTGATCCTTGAGTTTGCTTCTCCATTGCACCATCCAGAGTCCTTCCCTATACGTGGCTAAGTGACATCCAGTCCCGTCACGGAGCTGGAGAACGGCGGTGGGCATCTGATCCAGGAAGCCTGCTTGGAGGTGGTGTTGTTGCAGAGGCACATAGTTGGGCTGAGGAAGTGCAGAGAGGGGAGCACCTGAGGGGAGCACAGAGCAGATGAAATTCCAGGCCAGAGGCTTGCACTGCATCCCAGCCTGCCTGGAGGTGGCAGGTTGGGGCACAGCTGGTGGGCAGTGGGGCTGGCATGACAAGTGAAGAGCCGGACTCTCACTTGGGTGCAGGATGGGCATTTGGGGATAGAGGGTTCATCGTGGGAGGATAGGGGCATCCCTGGCCTCTCCTCGTGAGGTGCTGACCCCACCCCTCGTCATGCCCACTTCTTGTCTCTGACATTGCAAGGTCACCCATCTGTGGGCAAAGTTGCCACCCCCCCCCCCCACACACACACACTGGGGATCGGGGTCTGTTCTAGGGCAGGAGAAGACAGTGGGGGCTTGGAGATGGCCAGGAAGTTCTGCAGGCCTCTAAGCAGGGCAGCGGTCATCTCCAGGGCTGGGGGTCCTGGTCTGACTGGGCGGTAGGGTGGGAAACGTTCTTGGCTCCCCTATGGGAGGGCTCAGCCCCTTCCCAGGAGGGCAGGACTTGGGGGCTTTCTGGGGCCAGCAGCAGGGTGGCAGGTGTGTGTGTGCCGGGCCTCGAACATCTGGGTGGAAAAACGAAGCGCTGCCCAGATGTGCTGACGGGCAAGTTCGTCATCTGGAGTCAGTCATGGGCAATGGCTCTGAACGTCGGCAGTTATTTATGGACAGGCCTCTCAGGCTGCAGCGTCCTAAGGAGGGGCCCAGCCCAGGGGCTGCTCCCGCCCTGGGCGAGGGCCTTGCTTGCTGCTGGGCTGGGCTTGTGGGATACAGACAGGGAACTCCCCAGGTCGACATGCCCACAAAGGGGCAAAGAACTGGCTTCAGTTGGCCCCTTTGCTTCTGCTTCTCAACCCGAAGCTCTCCACTGCCCTCAGATAACCTTTTGCCCTAAACTCACTTCCTCCTTCCCCAGCATCTGACGGCCTCTCCCCACATGCCATCAGAAATGTAGAGTTCAGGGGCAGGAGTGACAGCACCGCGAGTAGGTCATTTGCCTTGCATGCGGCCGACCAGGGTTCGATTCCTAGCATGCCATAGGATTCCCCCGAGCACCGCCAGGAGTAATTCCTGAGTGCAGAGCCAGGAGTAACCCCTGAGCATCGCCGGGTGTGACCCAAAAAGCAAAAGTAAATAAATAAAAATATGGAGTTCAGTGAGTCCTGCTCTGCAGCGGTGGCCGGAGCAGGAGGGAGTGAGCAGGAGGCAGGCAGGCAGGCAGGTGGAGCCGGTGCCAGGGACCCGCCACTGTAGGGGCAAACAGCACCGTGACGACACGAGTTCTGCTGCTTTTCTGTTTTCTCCATATGGGGGCACCATGATTAGGTGTGGCTTTTTATTTATTTATTCGTTTACATATTTTTGCTTTGGGGGGGGTCACACCTGGCAGTGCTTAGGCTGACTCCTGGCTCTATGCTCAGGGATCATTCCTATCAGGGCTCAGGGGACCCTATGGGGCGTCTGGGGCCAGGCAAGTGCCCTCCCTGCTGTACGCTCTCTCCAGCCCCAGGTGCCACTTTTAATTAATTAATTATCTTAAAATTTATTTTTTAATTGAATGGCAGTGAGTTAGAGAGTTACCAAGTTGTTCATGAAATACACAGTTACAAAGTTGTTCATGATTGGGTTTTAGTCATGTATGTTCCAACACCTTCACCGGTGTACATTTCCTACCACCAATGTCCCTGGTTTAGGGAACCACCACCACATGCCCCACCCCTGTCTGCCCTCATAACAGGCACTTTCTCTCTCTTTCTCTCTTTCTCTCCTTTTGGGCATTATGGTTTTTTAATACAGATACCGAAGGATTATCATGCATATCCCTCTATCTACTCTCAGCACTCGTTTCTTGTCCAGAGTGATCATTTCTAACTATTATTGTCATACTGGCCTCTTCTCTCTAACTGCCCTTCATCTTAACTTGCCCACACACTTGTGGTGAGTTTCCAACCATGGGCCAGTGCTCCGAGGTGCCACTCCTTAGAGTAGACTTTTTATTCCAGAGGAGGTGGGTGCCTCGGGCAATGGCGAACGTAGTACGGGCTCTGCCCATCACACTCTAGCCCGCTCAGTAACACCTCGCAGCACACTCTTCACAGAGGTGGAGAATGAGGTCCTTTGTCCTTACTGTCTGCGAGTCCCCCTACATCCTGCCGAGGCCCCTTTCTCTTTGTGGGGTCCCTGGAGCTCTCTGCCCTGGGGCGGGGCTCACACCCTCTTCCTTTCCTTCTGTCAGTTGTTGCTTGCTGTTGTGATATTCACACACAGCTGGTGGCATCACATGCAGCTGGTTGTGGCATCACACACAGCCGGTGGCAACCACAGTGTCTGGGATTGCAGTCAGTGATGGGGGCAGGTGCCAGGGGTCGAACTCACAGCCTCACACCTGCGAGAAAGGTGCCATCCCCGGAAGCTGAATGCTCTCCAGGTCCCCTGAGTGGATGACCCCCACAGTGCTGGCAGCTTTGGTCATACACTTGGCGAAATGTTCCTTCAGTCTGACTTGTCAGAGGGGCTTCTTGTGGCCGACGGGGCTTGTGTGTTTTGGGGAGGATGACCAGGGAGGGGAAATTCCAGTCTGTTGCTTGGTCCTGGATCCCCCGGGAGAGAAGGCATATGTCAGGGTGCCCCTGGTTCTCCCATGTTCCCTTTCCACGCACGTTCTCTTTGAGAGAAAGTATCCACTTGACTCCTTGGTGTGTGTGTGTGTGTGTGTGTGTGTGTGGAGGCAGCCAAAGGGGGGATTGTCTCTGCTTCTCTCTCAAGGGTGGGGTGGACGCACATGGTTTTTGAATTTCCTCTGGGAGGCTTGTGTGTCCTCATTTATTACATAAATAATCAATTTGTGAGCTTGTATCCGTGTGTCATGGGTCTCGTTGTTGTTTGGGGGCGTCCTGTCCGGTCTAGCTGCTTGCTGGGAGGAAGCCCCACACACTGCTCCCACGGGGGCTCTGCCCTGAGTACCAACAGCTCTGCCGGTGCTGGGACCACCAGGCTCACTCACAGCTTCTGCCCTCCAGACTACCCGTCGGCCGGAGAAAAAATATGACCATGGCTTGGTGGGTGACAGTGTTGC